AATAAATTAACATTATAAAAAATATAAAAATATTATTTTAGCATAAATAATATAATAATTATAATTATGCATAGCATATGAGCTATTATTGCAAAATTATGTGAATAGCTTAAAAATACAAATATAATTATATTAAATGAAGTAAAAATATTATGAAACATATATATGGATACAAATAATAAATTTGGATCATTAAGTCATCATAAAATAATTTAAAGGGATAATTAATACATATTCAAGTAATTTAAATGCAAGAAAATTAATTTTAAAGCTTTAAAAATTATGACAAATCATAGAAAATACTTATATGGCCCCTATAAAATAGGTAATAATACAAAAAGATATTTTGTAAGTATACATGACATTTATAAAAATATGAGGGCAAAATTGGGTATCAACACTGATACCATAAAAATTAAAGAAGGCTTGACTTATGAAGAGGTAACTATAGAAATTCTCGATAGGCAAGTAAGAAAGTTGAGAACAAAAGATATAGCATCGGTAAAAGTTTTGTGGAGTAATCATGATTCAAAAGAGGCTGCGTGGAAGGTCGAGGAAGATATGAGGAAGAAGTATCCTTATTTATTTGAGGAACAAGTTATGTGAACCTAGTTTTGGCATGACATTTATATTTCATTTATTAAATACAAGTTAGCAAGTGTTTATGTCCTAACTAGATTATACTTAGTTGTTGAAGTAATTTAGTTTATGTCAGAGTATATCTAGTTATTAAATAATTTAGTACCATGCAGAGTACATTTAATTCATTAAAGTGATTTGCTTTTGCTGAAGTGTTGTGCTTTAGATTTTGGTTGGTTATTGTGGTACCTCCTTGCCGGAGTGTGAGTAATTAGTTTATAAGCTGTGTATGGTGCTTATGAATGGCCTGTTATGGTATATTTAGTTTTTGGTGGTGTAGTTGTGGTATTAGTAATAAGGATATTTTTTTGAATAGTCCAATTTACAGGGGAGACTCTGCCAAAACTTTTAAAAATTCAGGAAGTTAGCCAAAATCTTGAGTCCCTTGGGAAAGTGAGTAGTGCTAAGAAAACTTAAGAAGTTCAATGACTTAAAGAATGATTGTTAGCTTAAGAATAAGGCCCTAGCAACATTCGAGGACAAATGTTTATAAGGATGGGGGATTGTAACACTCCTCAAATCTATAAAAGTTTCAAGACACGCTAAATATAGAATTTAATTTTTTTAATCTTGCCTTGAGTGCATAAATTTTTTACTTATATTACGGATTTAAACCCTTGTGATTGACTTTTGAGCTACTTCTCTATTTATAAATAATTGGATATACAATTAGGGGAATATTAATAATTTTACTATTATTAATTATTAACAGTGGGTATAATTAAATACTAGTTAAATCAAAATTAAAAAAAAAAGAAAAGAAGAGAAAACAAAAAAGAGACCACGTGACAAGCCTAAAGCCCATAAAGGGTTGTTGGAAGGCAAGAGGCGTAAAGAGCCTTATAAGAAAAACAGAATTAACATTCTGTTTGCTCAAGAAATAGAGGCAACGAACTATTCACGCAGACAACAAAAATTCTAGGCTTCTTTACAAATAATTAGTTCTTGAACACAGGTATATAAAATTTTCTATTGTCAATTATCCTACAGTAGTAGTAGGTAAGAATTGAATTGTTAATTCCCTTATTTCTCTGTATCAACAGTAAATTCCATGTTTAGGTGTGAAACTTTAAAATTAATTAAAATACACTACGTTAAATTGGACTGGGGCCTACGTATTGGCTCGAGGAGTTTTGAGGTGAGTTGATATAACCCTTTACTAAAGTAGTTTAACTCACAAAAGCACATATACAAGGTGTTTGATGAATTGCTTAAAAGAGTTAACATGTACTTAATTGAAGCGAGCGAGTACCTATTAACTTAAAATTGTTCTAGCTAAAGTTTAGATGACTTATTCTGATACATGTGCATAAATTTTCAAACTTTTTTGTTATTCTTATATGCCATTTTCATGTTGAAAATTCACGAAGAAGCAAGAATCTCTAGAAATACTTTGAATGTTTATTTCATGCTTTTGCCATGCTTTACATTTAAGGATACCAGTATGAGTATGTATAGGTTGTTCCAGAAAAGATTTAGACTTGAATTGTCAAGAAAGTTGAGAAGTTAATTTAGATCCTAGCGAGGTCACACAGAATAATTTATTATTAAAGTATTTTTGGGAGTATCCTCTATTCTAAGAAGGGGTCATCGTCCAGTTCGAGGGTCCTGATCAAGGCATTGACTTCCTGAAACTACTTGTGCCAAAGTAGGGAGCACACGAGCCGAGGGTCTTTACTTAGCCAGACTAAGGTATGATACATGGGCGCTAAGAACCATGAAGCGAGGGGCACCTCGCGGATTGGGCATATTCGATCATGTTGGGATCGAACCCGGGCCGATCACACGGTGACTAAGACATAAATAAGTTAGGATAGTTGGAACTCCCGAAGCATAAAGTGAAGTACTTTTTTTAGATAAGAAAGAAAAAGAAAAGAATTTCTTTTAGAATACTCATAAACTGTTGCTATGCAATTATTTTATAATTGTTCTCAGAAGCTTTATGTTTTTCATTCATTTAGAATCTTTGCTTGTAATGTATATTTAATTAAAGTTTCGTCCCCTGTCGTTGAGACTCACTGAGTACAATGGATGGTACCGACGTTCTCTTTTGGGACCCTACGTTGGTCTACGGTACAATGTAGGAACCGATTTTGCAGGCGAGCAAGCTACGGGTTAGAACTTCCCTCACTTTCAGTGCTAGTGGTGAGCTCCGCTTTTATTCGTGGAGTACTCCTTTGAGACGTCATTATTTAGCTATTTCTTTGTTTATTTGGAGAATTGGCCAGGGAACCTCATGTCCTGAGCAGTGTGTCAGTTTATCAGTAGAGGCTTCATAAAGACAGTCGGTGCTTTAAGATTCAGGTGTTTTTGATAATAACTTTGCAGCATTTTAGTAGTTATTACGAATAAAGTTTTAGAGTTGGTTTAATTTAGATATTTAAATTAATTAAAAGTATTTAGTTAAAGTATTGCCTTGTTGCATATAAAGTTTGAGGTTATAATAGTGTTGATAAACGCAGATGGTTCGCTCGGTCAAATTTAGTGACCGGGTGCCGGTCACGGCTTGTTCAGAAAATGGGTTGTGACATATACTACGCTTCTGCACATTTTGTTCAGATCCATGTACGTTTGCTCGTGCCGGTAGATAGGGATTCCTGCTAGCTGCTTTATCGGAGACTTCAAGGTATGCGTGCTAGGCGTCCCCAGGCCTCGTAGTCACCTTCCCTTACCCTCATTTACTGTTATTTTTACTTTCGGACAGTGATGTAGTAGTTACTTTTGTTAGATTCTGTAGAGCTTATGACTCAGTTCCACCGGTTTTGGGGTGTGTATTGTGAGATTTTGTCTTCGGAAGGTTTTTATCAATTATTCAGTTATTTTCAGTAACTTGTTAATTATATCTGTTCAGTTATTATTGATTGTTTTAGGCTTACCTAGTCGTAGAGACTAAGTTCCGTAACGACATCCTACGGAGAGGAATTGGGGTCGTGACAATATTCCTAAAAAAATTAGTTGTAACATTATAAAAAATTACCTAGGTGAATAAAAAAATCTCATGAATATCTTCAAACTTGAAAGGAAATCAATAACATGAAGCAATCAATAGCAATAAAATAGCAAGACTGATCTAACGACACAATGCCAGAATATCAAGAGCCAATCTTAATTAGGAGGTCTGTTAGTAATTTAGTATCACATTCATTCTATTGCATTTATATCGAATATAGTATTTATTATAATGAATATTTACATATTTGTCCAAAAATATTACTTACAATAGTATTTAATATATGATTAATAGTGTCGTTTAGCTTTATAAGGGTATTTTAGTATTTTAGCTTTTCACTTGAGGTGTTCCCGCTTATAATGTAGAGCCCGTTTGGATGAGCTTATTTTAAGTGACTTTTAAGCATAAACCATAAATTAGGAATTCTAGCTTTTGGCTTTTGACTTTTTTTTGGTCATTTTAGCTTAAAAATAAGTGCTTAAAAGCATTTTTTTACTTTGAGGATGTTTGGATTGGCTTTTAAGCTGGTCAAATTAGCTTTTAAGCTCTTTTTAGCTTTTTCAGTGTTTTGCAAAGTAAAAAAAGTGCTTAAAATAAGTTAAAATTACTTAAAACAAGCCAAAAGCAATAAGTTGGGTTTAAAAGCTATTTCTGCGAAAAAATTACTTTTTTTAAGCCAATTCAAACGGGCTCTTTATCCAAACACTACAAAATAACTTAAAAGCTATTTTGGCTTAAAAGCACTTAAAATAAGTCAATCCAAACGAGTTCTAAGTATGATGATATGATATATAAAATAATTTCTTTTAGTAAACGATAAATATAAAATGGAGTGGAAGAGATTAAATATGTAAAAGAAAAAAGCTAAACATAAAGTTGACACGTAATATAAAATAGGATTTCCAAATATTTTTATTAGCAAAAAAAAACCTCCAAATATTTTCTTTTTAGTTTTTATTTTGCACAACTCCCAATACACCTTTCTTCACTTAGATACCATCCATACAAATTTACGGTGGTTCCCGGTCTATGTTGTTCAATGACATAAGAATTTTGATTGATTTCGTCTATACCTTCATAGTTTTAGGACAACAACGATAATTATGTATTATTTTATTTCATAAGTGCATTTATATCCAGATAGTCACTCTAAAGTACTACTGTTTAGGAATTAATCAGTGTGTCATGAATATCAATTTTTCAATATAATTTTTCGGGATAAAAATAACTTAAATTCGGCTGAAGTTAAGATTTTAAATTTTACATTTCACAAAATAAATGCTAAATCATCTCTAGATGAGAACATTGGGACCATCTGAGTCGGATCCCTGCTGATTCGGGTCCAAACCAAAATAGCCGGGCAGCATATAAGCCCACATAATTCACAACGGAGTACTACAAAACCCTTCCTTAACCCCACGCATTCCGAAGTTTCTTACAAAACACACACTCTCACACACCATGACTGCAAATTCTACATTGTAAAATAGCAGGATGATTCTTCTACCTTATCGCAGACTTGTACTAAACAACTCTAACAACTTTGCCATGGGCTCCAAATATTTTCTCCACAAGCCATCCGTTACCATACACAAGACTATTATTCCTGTCCTTTCTTCAAAAACCCACCTTTTTCAAAACCAAAGACTCATCTTTTCAACATTTGCTTCAAAACCCATCTCCCCAATTCGTGGAACTTCAAACTTGTCTTACAGGCCCCAACGTATTCCCCCACCAGGTACTATGTTTTGCAGTTCTTTTTGTCATGGGATTAATTACTGAACCTCAAGTATTCTTGTATAAACTTTGTAATATTCTTCAAGTGTTATTTAGGAGCCGTAAAAAAAAACCATTTTTAAACAAAGCTTGTGCAAAGAGAAAATGAGTAGAAGAAGAATTCTTTTAATCCTAAAACCACTTCTTTATAAGCATGTTTTTGAAATTTATTTTTGATAGATGAGAAATCCTCAAGGGTCAGTACGAAACTCGGTGGATAAAGTACCAGACTTCTGTTTGCGGCTGTGGTCTCGATCCCGTGGCATGTGTGTTAACCAAAAGTTTTCTCCAAAACAACTTGGAAAAACTTAAAAGATTTGCAAAATTTTATAAAAAGTTTCCACAAATAAACGCCACCTTTAATTATTGAAAACCATTGTTTATATGATTTTGACCAATTTAATGGGGAACATGATCAATGAGAATTCATATAGCCGACTCCAACTTGTTTGGGACTATTGAGTAATTGTTGTATTGTTTATATGATTTTGACCAATTTAATGGGGAACATGATCAATGAGAATTCATATAGCCGACTCCAACTTGTTTGGGACTATTGAGTAATTGTTGTATTGTTTATATGATTTCAGTTTCTGGAGTAGTACTGGAAGACCCAGTGGAGGGAATTGCGGAGTCAGAACATGTGAAGGCACTGAAGGAGAAATTAAGCCAGATTGGCATAGATATTGGTTCTTGTGGACCAGGGCAATACTCTGGTTTGCTTTGTCCAATGGTGAGTTACTAAGAGGTCTTTGCGAACCTTCTCTTTAAGAATGTTTTGTATGTAAGAAAGGGTGTTCAAGAGCATGGTCTTTATTGTTTAACTAGAAAATGAACTCTCTTATATTGAAGTGCAAACCATCAAATGGATTTAAATAAAGATGCTTCATCTTTCATATGCATATTCATTCTATCTTTCACAGTGCTAGATCCTTCCAATTCACTTTCAACTTGGGTTCTTTTATCGGTTCTTTTGTATTTTCAGCATTTTAGACGAATTGTAGGAGGACATAAAAATTAAAGTAGGATTATATGGACTTCGGAGCAATTATTGAATAATTAAATTTTAAAAAAACATTATAGAACAGTTGTTTGAAAGGTTTTATCTATTCACTAAGAAGTTTTTCAAAATTTTGAATGGGCAAATATTTTAGTGTGTTTAAGTTTTGCAGTTTTTTTGTTAATATGTTAATGAGTGTATGTCTATCGGAAACAACGTCTCTGCTCCTCTGGAGTAAGGGTAAGGTTTGCGTACACACTACCCTCCCCAGACCCCACTTGTGGGATTTCACTGGGCTGTTGTTGTATGTTAATGAGTGTATGAATATCTTGTGTATGAATGACTTGGCAATAATAATTTTTCGATAGTGGTTCTCCATTTACCCTTAAAAGATTAACTCTATGGTTGTCCAATTTACCAAGTTTTAACACTACATGTTTAATCAGGGTTGAAAGAGTCGTGTTGCATCTGCATTAGAGGACATATTCATGATTTCCTTCAATGAGCTTGGTGTCGAAGTAAAGCGACTTAGAAAGTTCAAGTGCATATGCATGTTATGTGTTTAGAGGATTCATTATATTATGACTACAACAACAACAACAAACAACAACAACATACCCAGTATAATCCCACATAATATAGTCATTATATTATGACTATTCAAAAAAATAAAAATAAAAAATATTTATATTATGATTATCTTTGCATTGATCGTCTACCTATCACAACCCTTGTTTAATTAGGCGCCTACTTAAGTAAAGTTTAAAAACCTCTAATTTATCTTAAAAAGGAAATTATTATTGGAACGAAATGGGGCTGGATAGAGCGGAATGGTCAGTGAGAATCCATACATGCAAACCAACTAGTCTAGAATTGTGGCATAATTGAACAATTGATTGATTAATAGCTTTCATTTGCCAAGTTGCAGTAGGTATCCCTACAGTAGCCGTTGTTGGTTTTACTATATTTTCTGTCAGTATGTTGTAGATAATAATTCAAGCTACGGTTACTGAGTCTCTTGATGGTAGAAAAAATGAGATTTCAATGCATGCATGCATGATACTTTGTTTGAGTGACAAATTATTGCAGATTTGATTCGAAACTGAATAGAGTTTGAAAGGTGAACACATAAGATCTGAATGATAAATGCTTACAACCCTATCAATGTTTAAAAGTGAATGGAGCTATTTCCTTGTCAAGTAGAATGATAAAGAAATGAAGTTTAAAAAAGGAATAAAAAGAAAGACTTGCTGTACGAAATAGAACAAAAGAAAAAAATCATAAAAAAGAAAAGAGAAGAATCATAATTACAGATGCTCCTGCCCAAGGCCTTTGGTCTAGTGGTAAGAGTGCAGCTCGTGATGTGTGGGTTTGATGCACATCAGAGGTTCGAACCTTGTTATAGAAAAAAACCTGGTATTTAAGTTGAGGAGGGTAGAGTGGCGGATCCGTTATCCACCGAATCTCGGTTATCAGAAAAACAAAAAAGAGAGAACCAAAAATTATCATACTTACAAATGCTTCTTATAAAAAAATAAAATAAAAAATCACACTTACAGATGCTCCGTCTGGTAGTTGAAAATTTTGCTTAGAAGAAAATCGTGGTTCATATCTTCCACATGTTGGTACGAAGGCTGAGAGTTAAACTAGACATGGTACTAATAGGTGTTAATGAGTTTAAAATTTTAGAAATTCTTTAGCATTATTGCATCTGTAAGATGCTTAGAATGTCCTATATTGACAGTTAGTGCAATGTTTTTGCTTTGTAGTGCACAGGTGGGGATTCAAATGAAAAGAGCTTATCTCTCTTCATTACTCAGGATGGGTAACTAATTATTTGTTTTGCACATCGTGTTTAAGGTATATTTTCTTTCCCCTCTAGCAATATATTTCTAAAGCATGTGAGTGATACCTAGGCATGCAGCTACATGGACATGCTTTCGAGCTAAATGTGGGTGGAGAGGTGGTACCCGGGTAAACATGTTTTGATGAGCTCATTAATCTTTTTATCTTGCATTTTCTTTGTCAACTTTTTAAATTCTCTTTTTTCATGCTGTTTCAGGCTTTTGCAGATGTGAAGACAGCTTTTGCAGATATGAAAAGGATTGGAAAAGTGACTAAGAAGTACAGACAGATAACTGAGGAGAGTTTGGGGCTGGAACCTTTATGTGATGTGGTATGTTGATCTGTCTTTTTATTTTACTTACATTACCAAGTTGGATTTCAATAATATTTTCATCTGCATGTAGTAATACTTGTTCGCTTAATAGCTGTTGGGCATGGGTTGTTTTGAGGTTAAGTCACCTATTATTTATTCGTGCATCCTGCAAAACTTGGTTAGTGTCCAAGACACTTGATTTTGCCATCAGCATGCGTTGAGTTGTTCATAGCTTTCTTGAATGAAATATGGATAAATATGGCTGTTGAGTCTTTTGATAGATCGCACTGGGTCGAACTTTGTGAAGTGTTAACTCTCGTTGTTCTTCTCTTTCTCTTTCCTTATTTTCTACCTGTACTGCCCTCTTGCTTCCTCTCTGCTGCTGTTTGCTATTCTTCTACATCTTGCTAGCATTGCTGTTAACAGTGAATAGTTCTACACACCCAGTCTCCTTTCTTATGATGAATGTTTCATTTTAGGTGGTACTAATGTCATCGCCCTATTCTCAGTCTAGCCCACCACAACTGCAACAGTGCACGGAATCCATTCCGCTGGATTTCCATTTCAATTTTGGGGTCTTCAAGATAAAAATTGAATCAAGTCGACTTAAAAAATGACACATTTGCTTTGTTTTGGTGTTAAATCTAAAAGACCGACAGTATTTGCTTTGGTTTTGTATTAACCAAAAAATGTTGAAACGAAACCGACCGCACTGACTATATGTATACAAATTCTAACCTCTAGGTATAAACTATTTTATTACTAAGAGTTTTGTGAATATTTTGTTTTCATTTTTATAATTTTATTTTTTATGACATTGGAATGTGGTTTTAGTGTTTCAAATTTAGGCTTGCTTGTATTCCAATTCCACTGGGCACCCGCTGCAACTCCTATTCTAGTTTAAACAAATGCTCACATTTTGGTCATTTTTGAAATTCTTTCTTGAAATGCTTCCTTTGTTTTTTGTTAGGGCTCTACAATTATAATCGATTTTAAGATTTCCCAAAAGGCTTCTACAGTAGTCATGGAGTCTAAGGTAGTTAGGAAGATCCCTGCTTTGTACTATTTTTACATTGTGAAATATTAAAAAAACAGACACAAAAGACTTGAAATATTTTTCTCTTCATCATTTCGGTCTTAATTTTTTTTTCTTCTGGTTGAAATATGAAGGATGCCCACTGTGTTCCATCTGGTATCAGCAGTGTTCTTGTCTGTTTAAGGCTTTAAGGTAGCTTTCTAATTTTCATAAGACTATCCTTTTGGTGTCTTTGCATCCAGCTGCAAGACTGTCCTCCACTTTGTTGCCCTCCCTGTGGCGGTGCTGCATTTCAGACCTTTATTTGCCCAGATTTTCCTTCATCTCTTCTGCATTTACCTCAAATTTCCATGGCCCTACCTTATGTTGAGAAGCAACATAGAGTCAACTTCTAGTATGCATCTCTATGTTTATTTGCAATGTAGCAGTTTATAACGTGCAGTACAATTTGTGCCTCTGCGATATTATTGCTATGTTCCAAAATAGATGGCAATTGCCATTGTGAGGTCCTATCTACGGTTTTCAGTCACTCTCCACCCCCAAAATAAATTGCAGATGCATTATGTGGTTGTCTTCTTTGTTCCTCAATATATTGCTTATTGATTATGTTTTATTTGAACTGAATTTATGAGCTTTTGATTAGTTGATTTTCTTCTTGCTGCTCTTCAGTTACTCTCATACTTTTCTGAGCGAATGATATCGAGAGAAACATTGCGGAGAAATGCGGTTATGCAACGGAGATACGGTGATCAGGTTTGATATCCTGTCATTTTCTGACATATTACTTGATCAGTTTCTGTCAGTAGCTACCCTACGCCCATAGACTTGATCACCTTTTGCCTGTATGCTAGCACCCTTAAGACAAAGATGTACCTCTGAATTATTTATTCAGTTTATTATTCTCTCAATATGATGATATATTGGTTGACTAGGTGAGTTATGTGCTTCCACTTGGTAACAAGGAAACTGATTAATTACCTTATCAAAAAAAACAAGGAAACTGATTAATAGCCTGTTTGGCCAAGCTTCTAAAATCAGCTTATTTTGAGAAGTGCTTTTCTCAAAAGTACTTTTTAAAAAAGTGCTTTTGGTGAGAAGCAATTTGTGTTTGGCTAATTAATTTGAAAAGCACTTTTGAGCAGTAATTAGTGTTTGGCCAAGCTTTTGAAAACTGCTTCTAAGTGTATTTTTCTCAAAAGTGCTTCTCAGAAAAGTGCTTTTGGAGAGAAGCTATTTTTTTCTGCTTCTCAAAAACTGCTTCTGCTTCTCCTCAAAAACACTTTTTTTCCTTCCAAAAGCTTGGCCAAACACCTCAATTTTTGGCCAAAAGTGCTTTTGGCCAAAAAAAGCACTTTTGGCCCAAAAAAAAGCTTGGCCAAACAGGCCATAAATCCCTACCCTTGCATTTGATTTACAATCGAATATTTCATGATGATACATCCTTGAATGAAGAATGATTCATCCTCGAGTAACAGAAATATTATGAGATACATTAGTATGCTTGGTTAATTGGACTTAGCATTGGGAAAATTTCTTGTCGTAAATTTCTCTGTGTTTGCTTAAAATAAAATAAACCCTCTCAATTAGCTTGTAAGAGTTCTTGAGGAGCTTAAAAGACCAACCAAACACACAACCATGTTCAATAATACAGGATCGAACAAATTGACCATACCGAGCCCTTAATGGAGGAGACGCTTGAAGGTGTTGTTTGTATACTGTTTCTACCACACTGAAAATTGCAGATATTCTAACGAAGGGACTCTTATAGCAGAAATTTGAGTTTTTGGTTAGTAGGTATGGCATGATAGAGATCTATGCACCAACTTCAAGGAGAGGGTTGATAGTAGGGTTTGGTTTTTAGAAGTCCTATTAAATAATGTTTGACTAGTTAGAGAAATCAAGATTTTAAATCTGTTTCATCATTATCTTGTTAGTCCTTACCATTTCCTAGTTAGCTCCCATTTTCCAGGAAGGTTGAGACCTATTCTCAGCCTAGCTGTAATTCCTGAAACTATAAAGCAAGAGAATAATCCCTTTTCTATGAAATCCACAAAGGCTTCCTCACAAGGATGATTTTCGATTAAATTCTGCAAAACTTGTTAGATCATCCAAGGATAGTTAAGTATTTGATCAAACTTAAAAATTATCTGAGGAAAGTTGTGACCAGCCACTTTTTCTTATTTAAAATTTCCTTTTCCATTAAACAAAATCTGACGAAAATGTTTTTGCCTTTTTTTGATTTATTCAATGTTACTTTTGTTTGAATTTTGAAACATATCTTCTGACTTTATTGTATCCAAAAAACCAAGAAATTTAGGCTTGCCAGCCATCCACACCAGAATACATTGCGATTTCCAAGAATACTGCTAGTGGAAGGACACCTCCCAGGGATAAGAGATGTAGGGCTAAAGAGAGAGCCAAATGAAGCAATATTGTTACTTTCCCTGCTCAAGGGGCTGCAATAACTCATCCTTGCAGTAACAAAGTCACTTCTTGACTGTTCTAGCATTAATGTAAATTTGTTTTCAGATTGTTATTGCATTTACATATCGGAGGGATGGAGCACTTGTAAGCTGCAAGTACCGGGACATCACCAAAAAGTTTTGGCAGGTTAGTGTCAATGTTCTTTATTTGCTACTTAACATATTATATTTACTTCAGTTAAAGGTAAAGATACCATGGAGCACTTGTTTCCAAATAATTTTAGTTGAGGCTTCAATCTCATCTATAAAGTCATGTGCTTAACAGAGGCAAATCTAAAAACCTTATGTAAATTTCCGTGGTAATAAGGGTGTGCGGAACTTCAATCCAAATTAAAAGCCCGAGTTTCTTAACCATATTTTTCTTTCAGTTTTGCCTTTTTTTCTCGATTTTTTTGGGTTTCATAGTCGAACACTGCTTGACATTTGGTTCAGTACTTGGTATGGAACTTTTGATTCAGTAATCCAAAGAACTGAGTCCTTTAATTGCTAATGCGTCAAGCTCTGAAGCGGCAGGTTTATACTTATTAAATCGTTACCTGGCACCCTCCATTGTTCTCTTTTTCTAAGTATTCCTTTCTTATTCCTTTTTCCTTCCTCTTTCCCTTTTTCCATTCCCACTAGATGATGCCACTGTGACCCCTGACTGTGTACTTACTATGCCTCAACCCAACTAGTTCGGTTGGCTAACTGGATCCTCAATATTATTGACTCCATTTGGACACGTCATTCGAATACTCAGTAATTTGTCTTTTAAGACAAAATAGGGATTCTCTAACATTAGAGGTTTGTTACATTTAGCGACATTCAAATCCTTAAACACACTAAATAATCTCCTTGTTCAGAACATCAATTTGCCCCATTTTACATTTTACGGTAGGCTACATATTCTGTTGCTTGGCTTATTAGTCAAAATGGTTTCTTCTGTCTGAAGAGAGATATTCCACCAGTCTGGTGTTGGTTTTGCTTAATTTAGCAGTATACTTGAGTTATTTTTTCTCTTTAGATATTATGACTTCAAAGATCAATTATTAAATAGTTTGCAAACCCAAAAAAAAAAAGAAGAATCAAAAGAACCAATTTGTTAAACTGATCCTTTTTCTACAATCAGTTTAACATTGGTTGTTTTGGTCTGTTATGAACGCCCATCCCTATTGGGAAAGCTGGAATAGTGATGATGTCCTGATTAGGATATGGGGATTTGCTTCTTGATTGAATCTCATCTTCCTTTTCTGATCAATCGAATGGTTGAGCGTCTTCTATTAAGTTTTTGAAGTACGAATAATATTACAATTTCATACTTCTAAATTATCTGTTTATGTACTAAAGTTTTGCTCCTAACTCTTGCTTCTAATATGCTATTAGTTGAAGTAACTGTATCCCGCACTTGTTTTGAACCTTATCATTTCACTGTTGATTTGCAGGAAGCTGATACATTAAAGATATTTTATGGTCTAGATGATATAAAAGGAGCAAGTGATATCATCATTGTAACGTCTGATTCACTCATCATTCCATCCTTGAAGAAGTAGACTAATTCATTTCTGATATTATATATTGCCTACTTCTCTTATGTTAGGTTGAGGGTGAGATGGACAAGCTTGCTATGGAAGAAGCTGGCTTTCGGAACTGTGTGAGCGTTCCCGATGGGGCACCTCCAGTTATTTCAGATAAAGAGTTGCCACCTGTAGATAAGGTTTCTTCTCTATAATTTGTCCTAAAAAATGGATTTTTAAGTAAAAGCTTTATCGTCATAACTTCTGTGTATATGGATCTAGTACCTAACTTTTGTTTATATGGATGTCATAGCTTGCTCACTTCTCATGCATAATAAAACATATGCACACTTTCTTTGTTTTTTCATCAAGACTTTTATGGTTTCGGGCTAGAGTTGCAAATTCTAATTTGTTTCTTGTTCTTTTTGTTTCTTCCCCCTCTATTTGTAATATGACACTTATCTCGACTAGTGCATCCTCTAATTGTATTACAACCCTACACCTTTTTCTGATTCATGCATGTATTTATCATGTATCCTCATCCACTTTCTGCTGCTTTTGCTCCATCCTTTATTAGAGTGCAGAGGAGCTGTGCTCCTTATATTGGTATGATTAGCTAGCATCTTCACATATGCTGGACCTAATGCCCCTTTTTGTGCATTTTGTGAAGCTAGGACACGAAGTATCAGTATCTTTGGAACTGCAAAGAGTATTTAGAAAAGGTTTGCAGACTCCTCTTTGCTTTTATTCTCCTATGTTTATTATATGCATCGATCATGTAACAAGAAAATTTTGTTCTTTTACCATTTATAGGCATCTCGCATAATACTGGCAACTGATGGGGATTCTCCTGGTCAAGCTTTAGCTGAAGAACTTGCCCGCCGCTTGGGGCGAGAAAGGTCTAGTATATTTAATCTCAGTGCAAATGATGGTAGAAATCGTGTTCTAGCTTAATAATGAGCCCTCTCAACCTTTTCTCTTTGGCTATGTAGGTGCTGGCGAGTCACATGGCCGAAAAAGAGCACTATAGACCGTTTCAAAGATGCAAATGAGGTTCTTCATGCATGAAATTTTCTTACCTATTTGTTTGTAGGAGAAAAAAGAAAAATTCATGAATCAGATCTTTTGTCATACTCTAGGAGCCTGCTGATTTGTGATTGGTAGTTGTGTACTTCCTCCAGGTCCCTCGTTGGAATTTGTTCTATTAAATTTTATGTGTTTTGAGATTTGATATGAACTGCAAGTCTAAAGTTAATTGCAGTCTTGTTAAGCCTGCTGTAGTTTTAAGCACTAGTAAAATGAGAGTTGTTTTGAACGACGTTTAGCTTGGTTCTCAATGTATCATTTGCTTGCAAATATTGGTTGCATACCTGATTTGTAGCTCTCTCAATGAAATTATACTAGCAGTTACTGTCACACAGTTATGTAATTCTATAGTCGGTTTTATATCGTCTCCTCAATAACGTCCTTCCTGAGGCAAAATGGGATCTTTCTTCTTTTTGATAAACATGGACAGGAGGTCATGTATGCTCATGATTTAGCATGGCCTGGGTCTGTGTTCCAACTGCTTAGTGCAAATAGTTTTATCTTTATAAAAAAATGAAATAGTTTTATATTAAATACAGCATCCTTTGTAACCTATTGCCAGCCATTATGAGTTTCCATTTACCAACTGATAATGCTTTTCTTGTTGTCTTACTCATTTTAGTGCATCTAAGATGCTCGTTTCACCTGATTTCACCATTATTCTCCAGTAACCTCAAGTTAAATATTTCTGCACTGGACATTAATAGGTACTTATGTATCTGGGGCCTGGTGCACTGAGGGAGGTTATTGAAGGTGCAGAGCTATACCCAATACAAGGGTTATTCAACTTTAAAGATTACTTCACTGAGATTGATGCATATTATCACCAAACAATTGGCTACGAGCTTGGGGTTTCAACTGGATGGAGGTCTTTAAATCAACTATACAATGTGAGTAGGCTCTTATTTAGGAACCGAGCTATGTCTCTAGCCTCTCAGGGAAATGATTACTTTGGATGCATATTACCCATGGACAGTTATTATTACTTTGGATTGAGGCTCATTATTGGCATATCAGCATGAAAACAAAATATGAAAATCTACAGTGGCTGATTTGTTCCCCCCTTCTTTCTTTATTCTGCACAGGTTGTGCCTGGAGAGTTGACTATTGTTACAGGAGTCCCGAATTCGGGGAAGAGTGAATGGATTGATGCTCTTTTGTGCAATCTCAATCACAGTGTTGGCTGGAAATTTGCACTTTGCTCTATGGAAAATAAGGTAGGCACTGTTGAAGCTGCTTCTTGTCATATCAAACTGGGATAAGTGAGCGATTAAATTCATTAGAAATTGGATGCCAAGTTGGTTTTGCCACCACCATTTCCTAGATGAGGCTTGTGCTAAATGCATCCTAAGAAGATTCTTAACCGTTAACTCCCTCTAGAATGATTTATTGATAGTATAGTAATATAGCAGGATATCATGCAGTGGACAACATAATCTCTGCATTATCTGGATCTTCTATTTAATTTATATATCGGAATTCCAAGTGTAATATAACCTGCACAAGTATTAGATTCCTCAAAGTTCTATGGGGTGTTTCTGAAAAAAAAATGTATTAAGTGATTTGCTTTTGTGCCCTGGTTCTTGTTTGAAGAATGCCTAGATTCCTAAATCATTCTGCAACTTGGATAAGCATAACTGATGTTTTACTCGTAGTGTACTAACTATGAGTAACTATGAGTTGAGAGAATAATCAAGTCAAACCATCATCTGTCATACCTTTTTTTGATAAAGACCGTCATCTGTCCTACTTGTCTTTGGTTTGGATTAATTGACCTGTTTTCGTGAGCTGCTTTGATTTTAATTGGATCAACACCATTAATAAACTATTCATGAGTGAGTTTTACATTCATAAGTGAGTTTTTATTGCCGATCTCTAGCCTAAAGAAGTTCATTTTCCCCACATTGGTGCTGGATGGTGTTAGACTCAAACGGATTCCTGCATCGTAATGGACGATGATGGTAAATAAGCTATTACAAGAGAGTCATATTCATATAGGTTAGTTGGAGCATTGGCTCGCTGAAAGGGAAGTTAATAGAATTAGTGGATACCATTAAGAGGAGGTGAGTTGATATTGCGTCATTGCGTGTCTAGAAGAGGCTAAGTGGACGAGAAAGAGGCTATAGAGAATTCAAACATTGGTTCGTTGCAGTGTTTTTGAGAGCGAGAAGCGCAAAAAAGCGACAGGGGCTCGCCTCGCTTCAAAAGCGAAGCGCACACTTCATTGAAGTGAAGCGCAATTCTTAAAAAACATAATGTAAACCTTGCAAAGACACAGTATAAATAATGAAAAAGTTCAATTTAAAAACTTAAAAGAAGGTATCACAAAATCCTCCATAGACTATAGGACAAGCAAAATCAAAACTACTAAATTACTAGAATCAACATCTTATTCTTCTACTCTTCTTGTTCTTCTTCAAGATTGTCAAAATCTTGAGATCCTGTATTATCTTCATATTGTTCGTCATCTTCTTCTTCCCCCTCTTTTTCCTCTTCCTCTTCATGATCACTTTCATCTTCATCAATTAGGGATAGAGATCGACTTGTAGTAGCCACACTTTTTTCCTTCCTAATCGAGCTTGAACTTGAAGTATTCCCCCTTAAACCATAAGGGTTCTCCCCAACTCCACTAGCATCCGCAACATCACCCTAAAAGTGAAATTAGAGCCGCCTTCAAATACTTCTTCATTTTTACAATTTTCGGGGACTTCGGTTAGCCACTCATTAGCCTTATCAATATTGTCCAAAAGAATTGGATCAATTAGATTGCGGTGGTTGTAGCGACGCCTCAATGCTCTATTGTATTTTATGAACACTAGATTATGGAGGCGCTTCAAGGTTAGTCGATTCCTTTTCTTTGTATGAATCTGCAAACAAGATGTGTCAACTAATTAGTAGGAGTTAGGACAATTGAGATATAATTTACTTTATCTCAAAACACGAAATCATTCTTTTAGTTGTCACGTGTTCAAAAATGCACCAGTTCCTTTCACATACGGATGAACTGCAAGCTAAACTTAGAACTTTGATGGCGAAAGTCTGTGAATCCGAAGTGTGTGCACCATATTGGTCCCACCATTCAACTATAGAAGTGAAAAAAATATATTCAAGAGTTAATAAGTGTAAACATACATTAAGAGTTAGAGCTATAAAATATAGAAGCACTCGATCACCTGGCGACTTCGTCTTTCTTTGATTAATAGCCAGTCGCAGCTTAGAAAGTCCTTTACCTGCCCTGTAAATAGCAAACTGATCTACTATCTTTTCTTGCAAGTCTTCATCTGAGGTCAACTTAATAACACACCCATGGAATCCCGTCCACACTTCTCTAGCCAGTGAATTATTCTCATACTGTTCATAAAAGAGTGACGGGTTCAGAATAAGTCCAGCTGCATGCAAATATCGATGAAGTTGCTCCGTCCATCTTGAATCAATGATCTGAAAGACCTTTGCATATTTCTGCTCATTTGTGAATGATGCTTGAATAGCCTCCTTGGCCCTATCCATAGCTTCATAGAGGTAGCCCATTGGTGGTTTTTACTCCCCATCCACCAAACAGAGCTCTTTAATCAAAGGGCCACCAATTTTAAGAGCGTGAAGGACATTATTCCAAAAAGAATAAGAAAGATAATGCGTGCAACATCTTTCCCTCCCAGTTTCCTTTGCAAATTTACTCTTGTTTCATTCCTCTGAAATGAACAACTTTCTCAAATTGGCCTTTTGCAAGTGGATACTATGCAAAGTCAAGAAAGCAGTAGCGAACCTTGTCTTGCCCGATTTCACCAAATTTTTTTGTCCGGTGAATCTTCTCATCATATTCAATAATAAGGGCAGCTGAGCAATATAAGAATGTACCCTAACGCACTGGCCAAAAACTGTAGAGAAGGGTTTTTCCTTGAAAATGTCCCCGAATGTTAAGTTGATACAATGAGCCGCACATGGAGTCCAATAGACCCGCTTTAACATTTTCATTCGCATTATCAGTGACCATTTGAACAAATTTGCTTGGGCCAATCTTTTCAATGGTGTTCTGAAACAAGGTGAACATTTTGATGTGGTCAGTGGACGAGTCGCTAGCATCAATCGACTCAAGAAACAAACTTCCCTTGGGAGAATTCACCAACACATTAATAATCATTATCCCAGTTCTTGCCGTCCACTTATCCATCATAATGGAGCATCTATACTTGTTCCACACAACTTTATCTTCCTCCACAATTTTATTGGTCTCCTCCACTTCCTTATTTAGGCCTCATTTGTTTTTTTTTAAAGATTATGACGTCTGAATCGGAATACATATCTGAATATCAAGATGTGTATTAAGATCTAAATACTAAATGATTAAGACTGTTTGATTTTTAACATCTGAATGTATAAAATTTATCTTTATTTAAAAATTAATAAACATAAAATTCAAATAAAATACTAATTAATCTAATATTCTAACAATAAAATATATAATTTTTTAAAATATGATAGTTGCTGGTGGTGATGACTAACGGTAGTGCTTGTGAATGCCGACTAGAGGCGGTGGTTGGTGGTAGATTTGGTCGATGGTGGTGGTTTAGGGTAGCAGTGTTATCAAAGGCGCGCTTAAAGCGCGCTTAAGCCCTGAAGCGAGGCTCAAAATATGTTGAGCGCTTTGCCTCACTTAACAGGCGCTTCAGTGTTGTCATCAAGGCTCTAAGGCATACTTTTCTTAGCTAACGAGCGTAATCCGGAAGACGCGATATTAAACAATTGATATTTCACTTTATCGTAAATTTTCTTCAATTTCTTTGTCCATATATTTGGTATTCATACTTATAGATATTACTCTTTGACTACACATACATATTTGTAGTTTTTCTCCATTTGCGCCTTTCTTCATTAAAGCCCACGCTTTATTTGCGCTTTGCGCTTAAAGCCCCAACAGACCTTAGAGCTTTTTTTGCGCTTTTTGCTTTTGATAACACTGTAGGGTAGTAGCTAATGGTGATTGGTAGTTGTGGCGATTATGATTGAGTATGGTGGTGGTGGGTGGTGATAGTTAATAATGATAGATGGTGATGATAGTTATGATTGAGGAAAGTGGTAGTGGGTATTGGTAGTTTATAATGATGGGCAGTGCCGGCTATGACTGTTGATGGTGATGAGGTGGTGTGGTAGTTGAGGTGAATGAGTGTTGGTTGTGGTTGAGAATGATGGTGGTGGGAGTGATGGGGATGCTGGGTGATGGTAGTCGATAATAGTGGCGGCTATGATTGAGGATGGTGGTGGTGATGGTGGTTGAGTATGGTAGTGGTGTTGGCAGTTAATAATGAATATGAATGATAACATCTTAATGAAATTAAGTCTCTGTTATAGATCTTAATCATACAGACCTATTCAGACCCATTAAATGGTTGTTAAGTTAAAAAACAAACACGCTTAATGATTAAGATCTGAATGATAAAGATCCAGACTTTAAAAATAAACACACTTAATTTCTGAGATCTGAATGATTAAGATTCATACCTCCATTAAGTGCAAACAAATGAGGCCTAAGTCTCTGTTATAGATCTTAATCATACAGATCTATTCAGACCCATTAAGTGGTTGTTAAGTTAAAAAAACAAACACACTTAATGATTAAGATCTGAATAATAAAGATCCAGACTTTAAAAACAAACGCACTTAATGTCTGAGATCTGAGTGATTAGGATTCAGACCTCCATTAAGTGCAAACAAATGAGGCCTTAGATAAGGACCTCTGATTTCATGATTAGTGGGAGGCTTCATTCCAGGTCCATATTAACCAACGACCTCAATAAAGTCTCCAAAAGTGTCAGTATAGTTGACACAATTGAAGGGGAGCCCAGCATCATATAGACCCATCGTGCAAAAACTTTAACTGCACGATCTCTCAAAATGTCCTTAGCATTTTTTTGCACATCTTTTCCACCGCTCTTTGCTTCTGGCTTCTTTGGGAAATAGAATCTATAAGACCTTTAGTCCTACTCGTACCCGTCATCCATGGCTTGAAGAGATTGCATCTCTTCCCCGTTTTGTTGGAAATGACAAACCTTCACCTTCTTCCATATCATCATCATCATCATTATCAAGATTGGTCACAAATGGTTGATGGCTCATTTGATTATTTTGCTCCTTCTTCTCAACAAAATTCTTTATTTCCTCCCTCACCTCCGGTGGGCATTTCAGACAACTTGTGATGTTTCTATCGCCACCGATAAGATGGAATTTAAAGTGATAAATTCCCTCCGTTGTAATCTTGTTACAAAACTTGCATACAACATTTGTACTATTCTTCTCATTAACTTTATCGCCATATCGCCAAGCCGAGTCATTCTCTTTCGAACTTTGGGACATTTTTAAATCGGTATTAAGATATAAGAAAAAACATAATCAAATAAACTGAAAATAATCTTTATAAATTGAAATACACATACAAATTAATAAATAAAGGCTAAAATACTAAATAAGAAGAATAAAAGGAAAAAAGAATCACGCCTGCCCTAGCTGTGAGCAGACGCCTGGACGGGAACAAGAAGAAGAAAGAAAAAAAGGAGAAGAAGAAATGAGAAGAAAGAAGAAAGAAGAAAAAAAGAAGAAAAATTACCTGGAGGACCGGAGTAGGTCTCTGGCGACTTGAACCCTAGCAGCACTCAACAACAATTGATTTTGGGAAGAAGAGAGAAATGGTCTTCACTTTGGCCTTAGGGGTCTGTTTTGTATAATAAAAAAACAGACCCAAACTTTTTTTTTTAAAAGCTGACGCCTCTGAACAGAAGCGAGCGATTCTGTGCTTCTCGCTTCAAGGTCGCTTCGCGCTTCTTCGACTGAAGCGAGCGCTTCGTCTGGTTGAGTCGCCTCAGGCATGGAAAAGCGAGCAGCCATTGCTTCGCGTCGCTTAAAGCGACGAAGCGATCGCTTTTTAAAACACTGGTTCGTTGATAAAGAAATAAATAGAATTATTGGATACCTTAGAGAGGAACAAAGTTGATATTTCGTGCAAGTTGAACCGTACATTAGTTATTACAATAAATATCATTGTATGATCAGATAAATAAAAATATGAATGGAGTGAGAATTATTGTAGAGCTAGTATTTTAGGGTAAAGCTGTAGAAGTAAAAAGAATTGGTGATAGGGGTGATGGTTGAACCACTACAGTCAAACATATCTATAAGATGTATGTCGTAGAAATATAGATATTAAGTTGGATGTGTCGTACAACATTAGACAAGATTGGAAATAATTACATCCAACAAAAGGTACAAGTATCATAAAGGGACAAAATGAGAGGAGTTCACATTTGACCATGTCTTATGTTGATATTCAAAAGCACAGGTCTATAAGTGAGATTTTATGGTGATGGAAAGTATTATAAGGATACTAATCACTTGGAAGAAAATTGTCTCAGAAGAACTTCAATCTCAGATGTTTTGATGGAGTCTCAACTCCAATCTCCACTTGCTGAAAGCCAGATGTCTGCTTAGTCTTTTTTGTTGGGCCAAACAGTCCTATGTAAATAGTTCTACTGTCTTTTTGGATTTTTTTAGCTCCCTTACTCTAGACTAGCCTCTTTGAGGTATATATTTTGTTATTGGCTAGCTCCATATCATATCATAACATCTTGTAATGGAGCCAACATCTCTATTTTTGTAATCACTGCATCTGCTTGATGCCTTTCAACGAAGCAACTTACATTATCACAAAAAAAAGAAAGAACTTCAATCTCTCGAAAAGTGAGCGGAGAGTAGAACATGATAAAGAGAAAGATTTATATAAGCGATATCAAGTAACTAGAATTAAGCATTTCCCGTGCTGTATTCACGTGAGTTGTTTGGGAGGAGTCATTTCAGTGTGTTAAAAGATTTGTATGTCAATATTGAAATAAGTGTAAATGTAGAGAGCTTTCTATGTTAGACAAAATATTGAGTGTTATAATGAACAAGTTCAAATGGTATATCGGATATTTTTTTGGGAGGCTGCTGTAGAGGATGTTGGCACCTTTTATGTAATTCTCTGTACCATTTGGTACCTTTATCAATAAAATTTACCTTACAAAAAAAAGTTCAAATGGAGCAAAATAGATATAGAGAATTCATATAGCCGAACTCAACTGGTTGTGATTGAGGCCCAGGTGGTGCTGTATCAATCACGCTATTTTCATTGTTGCTTGAATATTATGTGACAAAGTCGAGCTTTGAGGACAAGTATACCAATGAAAATTTAGTTCAAATCGATTATTCAATTGACTTATTACAATAATATAATCAGATTCAATTTATACGGTCAAACCAAGTAAATCCTACTTCTAGAATTCTAGCGAAAAAAATAAACATGTAGTAAATAATATTTCAACTCATATAATTTCATCTTGGACCTATGTTAATGCTTTTGCTGTTGTGTTGCTAAACCAAATGCCTAAAAGTTCAACTATTGTTACAACACTTCCCCATTCATTTTCTTGAGTTCTATCATAGTCAACAATCTCTTGTCTTTCTTCCATGCTAAATGTCAGCTCTTAAAATCTGTCAGACAGCTGTTTACGGCTAGGCCTTCACCACAGTGAAGAACTATTTACCCTTCAGCACATTCACCCTTGCCCATTTGTGTTTGCTCGTTTTTCTTGGTTTTACTTACTATCTATCTATTTACTGATCTGTAGGTACGGGACCATGCTAGGAAACTTTTGGAGAAACACATAAAGAAACCTTTCTTTGATGTGAGGCAAGTAGGAAACAACCTATACCTCTTAAGTCTCTTTATCATTTTTCTTTTTAGTATTGCTACATTTAGGCAAGATGCCTAGCAATATAATTGTTGTCATTACAAATTTAAATTACATATTCGGTAGCATTGAGAAATTAGATGTTGATAAGGTTGCATATGTAAGAAAGAAATTTTGCAAGAATTGATAGATGTGAGGAGAGAGAAATGCTCCCGGCACAAGACCCGAGAGAGTCTAACAACTTTCTCCGATGGTTCCTAGTCACTTTCCGGTGATTCTTCCTTGCAGTTTTCTGAGTTTTTTTAATCAATCATGTCTTGGTGATAGGCTCAAAAACTTAGTTTCTCTTTTATTCTCATAATCACGGTTAACAGAATTTATTTTAATATTGGTGATAAGTCTTATGAGATTACTGAAGTCAAAGATACTGCAGATGTCTGGTACGAATGGGTGGAATGCAAGAGGAACTTCATGAGGAAAATGACTCAGTCGGAAAGTCATGCTATGGGTATGTGAACTCCTGATTTCTCATTCGAAAGATGGCGAGTGAACTCAGGAGATCGAAGACCAGAGATCACGTGCATAACTTCTATTGTACAAAGAAATACAATGGTTATGGCAGATATATTAGTGTAGTTGCAGTGTAGGGGGAACGCAGAGCTTTCATAATCCTTTCAGAAGCAACATTCACTATTGGGTTGAGAGGTGTTGCTTTAAAGATAAAGAATTTCATTAATGTGAGTATGTGACTGTCCCAGCTGTGCAGAGGTTCACAAATCCAGTAGTGGACCATTCATACATCATATCTGATAAATGGGAGGCTAAAGGGGCTTTCACATCAGCATCCTTTACCTCCACTGCTCAACGGGTTATTGCTCATGGCCCTGAAATCTCTGATAATGATGTTCTTAGCAGATGCCTGGTGGGATTTAGATGGGTCAGTAGCAAATGGAGCACAATCCCAGGTATTTAGATGTACGAGATGCATGGAGCAAAATTTCTGTTCGAAATTCCTTCAAGGAAAATGGCAGATCACATCCAAATGGGGGAATGGAGGTGGAGTAATAAATTGATGATCCTTGATTAGTGGTCGCCCACAGTCGGGTATTTTCCGGGAGCGACCAAACTTGATTGGGTGTGGGTGAGGCTACTGGGGATTCCTCTCCATCTCTGGTCTCAGAAAATTTTCAAGCAAATCGGAGATATATGTGGGGGATGGACTGAAACTGAGGAAGAAGCTATCCTAAGGAACCTTTTGAAATGGGCTCGAATTAAAGTCAAGGGGCTCGAATTGATGCCAACGTTACTTCAAGGGCCCTTGAACTTTCTGCTACCTTCTCTGGTAGCGACACACTCTTGAGAAACAGTCGTAAAAGAAGAGTTGGCTTTGCATGTTGGGTATGATGAGGAAGATTTAACCCCTTTGAGTGGAGAAATTGTCCCTTTCTCACCTCTTCCTTTGAATGCCCATCAATTGATAGATTGCAAAGATCTTGAATCTTGGTTAGTAGATGCATTTGGACCTCTTGATTCCCATTTCCTTGAAGCTGATATGAATGCTTCCCTATGGGTGCATAAAAATGTGTTGAAGATGAGCAAGACTTATGGCGCAAGACTTACAGAGCAAGAAGAAGCTCCATAACTATTTATGAAAATCGACAGGCGCAGACTAGAGGAGAGAAGAAGCAACGTTAAGGGCAGTTTCGACTTCGAAAAAGAAAAAAGGGATCATGAAGGTACAAAATGTGGTGTTCAACATGAACTTCTCATAACCAATACTAGAAGCAGGGGGGAATCTACCAACAACTGTTTTTAGTGAAGGTAATATTATTTCCTGGAATGTTTGGGGATTGAATAGAAGGGATAAAAGATCAATTGTGAAGTCATTAATTAAGAAATGGAAGGCTGATATATACTGTCTGCAAGAATCCACATTAGAAGGTGATGTCCAATCGTGTGTGAATTAGATTAGGGGCCATAGATGGGGTATTTTGGTTCTATGGGACAGTAGAATATGGAAGGGGGAGGTGGTTAATGTAGTTAATTATACCATCACTTTTAAATTTGTTTCTCAGAGGGTTGAGCGAAGAATGTGTGGTGGGAAGCAGTTACCTCCAGGGAGTCGTTGTTGGACAATGGGTAGTCCGTGGAGATTTTAATGGTACCAGATATATGGAGGAAAAAAGAGATAGCAACACTATTTCAAGAGCTATGACTTCTCTAAGTTTATTGAGGACTGAGCTTCTTGACCCTCCACTATTAGGGGGATTGTATACATGGGCCAGAAGAATTAATTCTCATATTGCCTCTAGGCTGGATGGATTTTTATTTTTCTCTGAGTGGGATGAAAGCTTTAGGAACATAAAGCAAGCAGTGCTTCCTAAAGTTTCTTCAAACCACACCCTTATTCTTCTCAATTGTGGTGATTGGGAAAGCACAAAATCTTATTTCAAGTTCTAGAATTGGTGGCTTGGTGCTGATGGTTTTAAAGATTTCATTTTGGCACAGAAACTCAAGCTTTTAAAAGGAAAGCTGAGAAATAGAGCTTCTCTCTCGGAAGGAACCTGGAAATGAGGAAGACTGAATGTTTAAACAGAATCATCGAACTGTAAGTTGCACAGGAGACTAGAGATCTTACTGAAGATGAAACAATTCAGATGGCAAGCCTAGATATGGACCTGGAAGAAATTGCAAAAAATGAGATCTCTTGGAGACAGAAATCAACAGTCCAATGGTTACAACGGGGGAACAGAAATACAAAATTCTTTCACAAGGTGGCTAATGCTCATAGGAGGTTTAATACAATAGGCAAGCTCAATGTCAAGGGGGTTTAGGTGGAGAACTTAACATAGATTGAGGGAGAGATTTAAGCCTTTTACCAGCAACTGTATAATGAACCTGAGGAATGGAGACCTGAGTTCAGCTATCAGCAATGCCCTCAAATCAATGCTATAGAAGAATAATGGATGCAAAGGGAATTTGATGAGCTGGAAATTTTGGAAGGCCTCAAGGTTTGTGCCAGCTGATAAGGCCCCTGGTCCTGATGGTTATACTATGGGCTTATTTTTACATTGTTGGGATCTTCTTAAGGAAGATCTGGTAAACACTTTTCAAAATTTTCATTCTCAGGAATATTTTGGAAAGAGTCTTAATGCCACTTACATAGCTTTAATTCCTAAGAACGTTGTGCAACAGAACTGAGGGATTACAGACCTATTAGTCTTATTGGGAGTGCCTATAAGAATTTATCCAAGGTGTTGACAGAAAGACTGAAGAAGGTGATCTATAAATTTGTAGATACTTAACAAATAGCTTTCATCAAAGGCAGATTATGCATGCAACTCTAATTGCTGATGAATGTGTTGATTCTTGAATAAGGGGGAAAGATCCAGGGGTGTTGTGCAAACTAGATATTGAAAACGCCTTTGATCATCTAAATTGGAATTATCTCCTAAATATATTTAAGGGTATGGGATTTGGGAGAAATGGATAAGGTGGATACAATTTTACATCAGTGATGTCAGTTTTCCATTTGTGTGAATGGATCTCTAGAGGGTTTCTTTCCTTGTCAGAGAAGGCTAAGGCAGTGAGATCCACTTTCACCTTTCCTTTTCATTATTACCGTGGAAGGGTTGAACAACCTGCTTAAGAAAGCTTAATACTGAGGGCTGGCTAAGGGGATTCAGGGTGCTTGAACAATGACAAAAATAATTTGGAGATTACACATCTTCTGTATGTTGATGATTCATTGATTTTTGTGATGCTAAAGTGGAGCAAGTTACATATTTGGGATTGATCTTGATTGTGTTTGAAGCTATTTCAAGCCTTCATGTCAACCGGAGGAAATCTCGTTTATTCACAGCGAATGATGTCCCAAACGTTCAGAGACTCGCAGGCTCTTTAGGCTATGAGGTATGGGTTTTGCCAACTATATACTTGGGGTTACCCTAAGGGGCTAAAAACAAGTCCCATCAGATAGGGAACGGGATAATAGAGAGGTGTGAGAAGAAACTGTCCAGTTGGAATAACAATTATTTATCTCTAGGGGAAGGTTTGTCCTGGTCAACAGTGTTTTAGATGCACTCCCTAAACATATGATGTCTCTTTTTCCCATGCCTGTGAAAATTGAGAAGAGAATTGATGCATTGAGGAGGAAGTTTATTTGGCAAGGAAATAAGGAGAACAGAAGTTATGATCTAGTCAAATGGAATACTCTTACATGCAGCAAGAAAGAAGGGGGATTGGGAATTAGGAATCTGAGAGCATAACAAGAGTATTGATGAAATGGTTATGGAGATTTTCCTCCGGAAGATCAAGATCTACGGAGAAGGGTTATAAATGACAAATATGGGACATAAATGACAAATATGGGACATAAGGGCAATGGTGTACAAGTTCTGTTACCAGTTCTTATGGTGCGAGTGTATGGAAATCAATAAGAACCCTTTGGCAAGATTTTGCAAGTAACATCAACATTAAAGTTGGAAATGGAATGAATTCCTTTAGAATGATGATTGGATTGGGAATGGTCCTCTCAAAGAAGCCTTTCCTGATATTTTTAGCTTAGTTCAACAACCTTAGCAACTTTAGCTGAAATCTGGAGTCAACAGGGCAGGGCTGGAATCTCACCTTTAGAAGATTCTTAAATGATTTAGAGGTGATTATAATTACTGATTTCTTCAGGTTGCTACACAATTTCAGGGAAACTGATGAATAAGAGGACATGCTAGCTTGGAACAGTAACAATGATGGGATTTTCTTGGTAAAATAAGCATATGGGACCCTAAATAGAAGTGGTCAACACTATGGCCTCTGGCATTGGAAACACTTATGGAAGATGAAAATACCATTCAAGGTGACTGTATTCTGCTGGTTGGTGGTGAAACAAGCTGTTCTGATGAATGACAACCTGATGAAACAAGGATTGTCTTTATGCTCAAAATGTTTTTTGTATGGCAATGAATTGAAACTCTTAGCCATCTTTTCATCCATTGCCAGGTAACAAGTAGGCTATGGCAGCTGTTCATGAGCATGGAAGGCCTAGTTTGGACAATGCCCAGGAAAACTGATGAGTTGGTGGTCTATTGGCATGACATAGTTGCAGGTATGGTACATAGGAGGTGGTGGAACATTGTCCCGGCATGTATTTGACGGACAATTTGGAGGGAAAGAAACTCAAGATGCTTTGAAGATTTGGCTTAACTCTGAACAAATTATCAAGATGTATATTTTAATCTACTTTTGGTGCAAAGAATCCCTTGTACAAGATTTAGAATCTCTAGTAGATCTCATTGGTTCCTTGTAGCTGTTACAAAAATTTTCCCCCCACTTTTTGGGTCTTGTAACACTGTTTTTACTCCTTAGCACAGTCTTTATGCGAAGGACTATCTTTTTACAATCAGATCTCTTAACTTCTCAAAAAAAAGAGAGATGCATATGCATGTTTAATAGACCAATTCTATATAAATCTTGAATAGACCAAGAAGTGAGAGTGCTGTGTATGTTTAGGAGCTGTTTGACAATTGGTTTTTTTGATAAGAAGCTGTTTGACAAATGACAACTGTATTCTTATAGGAGAAACACTTAAAACCTTTGTCTTCTATTGTTTATTTATGATTCAAAGGACAAGACGTGCAAGGTCACCTAACTGAGCAACAAGCTAAGGATATTGATGAGAAAATCGGTTAAGTAGACTGATCTTTAAGTGGTAGCCTATTGTGGATGTTGAGTTTCCCACATCAGCTACAAATGCCGTATTTGGTCTCCTTATATGGTCTTGGACAATCCTCACCTCATGAGCTAGCTTTTGAGATTAAGTTAGGCCCAAGGTCCATTTCTTATCAGAATATCTGTGCAAATTAATAGATCCTAAGTTGATGCATTTGTTTCTTTTATTCCAAAATCGTTATTTGGCTTGGAATAATTGTCGTACCTTGGCGAATAGTATTTCTAGCTCTTATAATTTGGTTCTCGAATGATTAACCTTAAAAAAGCAGAAATTGGACATATCTACTCTTCTTGGACAAGTTAGTTATGTAGGAATTTGATGAGTTGATGCCTTGTTGTGGATAGTATTGAGATACAACATTGAGAAACAACCGGAGCAACATCAAAATATTTTTTAGTTCTTATACTTGTTAAGCTTTTGTCTTATTTTGATTCTGATGCATTACTAAATTTTGGCTAGTCTACTGTCCCTATAGTAGATTACCTGTTCTCTTGTTTACTACATTTTGCTACGAACCTACTGCACTGCCACTTGCACCACGTTGGCACACAACGATCTCATCGCCAAAGCAAGTTCTTTTGCCCTAGCATTCAAGGTTGTTGGGAATGAAGGTAGTGCTTACCTAAGTGCAATTATTATCGTAAGATCGATCATGATCATGTTTGCTTAGATTGATTCCTCAGGTAATCCAAGCAGTTCAATTTTCTCTTTAACTGAGGCAAAATATAATGAGTTTATTAGGAATCATGCGAGTAAGAAGACGCATCTACGAGTGGCTTCTTCATTGAATCTTGCAACTACAATTCCTTATCACTGGGTGCTACCAAACTCTATGGTAGAAACAATGGAAAGTATGTGGATAAATAAAATGGAGGAAGCAAGAAGAAGATGTGTAGGACTATCTTATTTTATATCTTTTGGTTATTATGTGGTTAAATAAGATAGAAGGAAGTGTTTATATTGTAAATAAAAATGTGCTTTCTCTAACAATATAAACTTTTAGATGAGATGGTCGCACAATTAAATATGGTATTGGAGCAAGCAAATGTCTCGAATTTGAGTTTTACTGCCACCCATAATCAAAAAGAATTTTCACTTGCTTGATCCATGAAAAAGAATCAGGCCTCCACGTGAAGGGACATGTTGAAGATATAACTAATTAAGTAAATAAAAGTGTGCTTTCTCTAACAGCTTAAGCTTTTAAATGAGATGTTCATACAATTCTACAATTTATTAGAAGGGAAAGAAATAAGGGGACTTTTGGGGGAAGGAGAGTTCGACAACGACGGCGGTCAAGAGTCTGTTGTTGCTTTTGTATTCTTCGTGTAAAATGGACTATGTATATTTGAGAAATAACCTCTCATTTCTAGTTCATTTGTGGTGCATCCATGACATTCCTTTTTTGTACAGAACATTGGGTGTCGTTCTTAGAGAATCATATTATGTTAGTAGATTTTCTACTACTTGGTATAATACTTGTATACGGGAGGTGTTTCCGTTATTAATAAAATTATTTGCCTTATAAAAAAATTCGTCGTGTTAAATGGATTTCTCTATATGTTTGATAGCTAGCTAGCTGGGCAGTCTTTTGGAATCCGTAATGGATTTTGTGACTTCTTAATTAATTAATCGTATTACCATCTTGGTGCAGTACTGACGAGTTCACCATTTCTTGCAAAAAAGCAGATAGATAGTTAATTATTAGTTTTTCACAATGAGAAAACATTCATGAAACTGGATTTACCCCATATAACATCAGCTGGATATAGGGTTTGAAATGATTACTACATTGATTTGTCCCGATAGAAATGTTATATTTGGTAGCAAGTTAAATATTTTAAGAGAAAGAAACACATTAATTCAAACTACGCAAACTAAAAGTTATACTTCAAAGTGTTACTGTTAGAACAACTTGTTTCTGATTGGATTCTTCTGCAAAAAGCCTCCATTGACTCTCAGTTGAGTGCACTATACCAAGGCCCCTCAAGAGACGCAAGAGTGGCAATATCAGTGGCTATTATATGGGTAAGCGCGTGGTAGAATTCTTAAATGCTAGAACCTATCCCAGAAAAGAGGGGATAAGTTCACTGTAGAAAATAATACCACCATTACAAACTTTTTGAGCATTACAATGGGCAAAAGCTACTATCCACTGTGTGATTGGGTTACTTGTATAAATTATGGATGAAAATATTTGTGCATATAACTTCATCATTATCACTGTTTACTTGTCCCATTATGTTGGCTTATTATATGGTTGTGACCCTATTACAAGCATTCTCTATATGGGCTGTGGGCAGGACTAATTTAGTAGAACTTCATTTTGTAATTTATATTTGCCGAGAGGTGCACACATGTTTGTGTTTGAGAAGTATTTAGGTGTCAAACAGATTGCTTCCCGTTCTTGCAAATGCGTGTCGTATGTTTCAAGCCTTCATTCTTGGCAAGCGTAGTTGGTAAGACTAGCTTGCAGTATGCACGGCCACAGACAGCCTTTTTTTTTTGGTTTTAATTTTTCTAGTATATCAACCTGCTATAACTTCTATGCTGTGTTGGTCCATGATGGGGATTGTCATATCCTGCTACCGTAGCTTATTATAAAATTTTTGTTCTTCTCTTTCTAGTTTTTTTTCCCGGTTAAGAAGAACCTAACTTTCTGATGCACAGAAGGACTCTCTTACTCATCTTATGCATTTTTGGTGTGCATTCATTTATCTTTTGTTCTTTGTGAATTTGTATGGTAACCTTTTGATCATTGGCTATGCAGATATGGGGAATCTGTTCAACGGATGAGTGCTCAGGAGTTTGAAGAGGGAAAGCAATGGCTCAGTGATACTTTTTTCCTCATAAGGTGATAGTGGCAGTTATGAATCTTGACTTCTTGCCTTATGATTCTAACTTAGTTCTATTTGGAACTGACATCTGATCTGCAAGCTTACTCTCCATGTTTCAAAGTTTGTTTTGATGATAAGTTCCGGATCGACTGATTGTGGATCCAAATTAAGGATGTCAATCAGTTTGGTTTTGTTTTTTGGAATCTTTACTTAAATAAAGTTTTGAATAGGTAATATTCGAGATACTATCAATCAGTTTTATTTTTTGTTAGAGTGTCCACATCAATTGAGAGAATGAGCTGTTTGTCTCCTTATATGATAATTTAGGCAATCCTCATCTCATAAGCTAGCGGTTCGGGTCGCGATAGGCCCAAAGTGCATTTTCTTTACATGGTAGAAGAGTCAGACCCATCCTTATTTCTTGGTTTACCTAATGTTAGGGCTCCATCTTATGTTGTCCACGCAATGTGTTTCCAACCCTAGGCAATATATGTCCAACCCTGGCATGCGAGGGGTATGTTAGAGGCCACATTGGTTGAGTGCATGAAATGTTATCTTGGATAATCCTCATCTCATTAGCTAGCGTTAGGGTTGAGTTAGACCTAAAATCCATCTTTCTTTATGGTGATCAAGCAACGAAATGCTGTGAAGGAGGGATTATTGCTTTTAATGGTTGAGGTGATGCAATTTTGAAGAAGAGCGCATTTCAAATAGTGAGGCCTTAAGTGACTCAAGCGGGAAAGGGTTGCTTCTATGCGTCTAACTTTGAAACTGGAAAAAGAAAAGAGAGAAAGAGGAAACTATGGCCGTGCTTCAGTAATCTTTTTTTCGTCGTCTCTGTTCAACCTAGTTAGAATTTAGAGACTTTCTTGTTGTTATGGTGTGCAAGTCATCATCTTGTTGGTACTGGACTTCTCTTCTGCTTTTCTAAATGTCTCAATGATTCCCTTGTTAACTTTTCTTGTCTATTTTTTACGGAGTAGATAAAAGCGAAAAGCAAGAAATGTGCCGAAGTCTATTTGGAGCTTTAAGTGCAGAAGCATAAGCTTTAGCAAAGAAAGGCACTAATGAAGAAAAAATAATATGCGTGACGAGGAAAAATCACCGCAAACACAAAAAACAACAATTTGGACAAAAGAATTGAAGTAACAATCATGTCAATCAAGTTTAAAACTATTTTAAATTTTTTATTTAGATGAAAATATATAATTTATGTTTTTTTGAGGTAACTTTCCTATATTAAAATTTAAGTTTTTATTCATAATCACTAAACATTTCATTCTAGCTTCTTTTTAGCAATTTATAATTTTGTGGAGCTAGCTTTCTAATAGTACTAAAATTTAATTTATCATTCATAATTACTAAAAGTTTTTTAATAACGCATTTTTAGCAATTAAACTGTCTGTTTACTAACTATATTTGTTGTTTAGTAGTGCTTTCTTAAAGATAGAGCCCACCCTCCGTCGAAAAATTACACTGCGTATATAGGTAAAATATTTTGGAGGTATATAACATATATTTAACGCCCACCCCTTGTCGGAGATTTTTTTTCACTTCTTTCAAGTTTGAACACCCTTGGGGAAATTTCTGGCTTTGCCACTGGTGATGAGCCGCATGCCTTAGCACGTTTGCGCCTCCACAAAGCGCCACTTAAGCAAGGCGAAGGGCACAACTTGGCTTCAACTGAGTTTCAACGCTTAAGCGCGCTTCAAACGAACCTTTAAAAGCACTGGTTCTTTATGTGATTTTCTATTTTCCAATTTTTGTCATAGAGGCTGAATAATGGAAAAAAACTGACTCTTATAGTTGAAACTAATTACAATTGTAGTACTAAACAATTAAATATGAAATCGAGTGTTGCACATTAATTTTTTTTAATTTTTTCTTTTAATGGCTAATTAAGTAAAAAGAAACTGAAAATCAATTTTTCCATTGATATTTTCTGGTGGGCTTGTGGAAGTTACATTTAATTGATATTTAATTTTAGCTACTGGGATTGATGATGTCATTATTATAAATGAATACTGTAACTAGTAATATTAATTGCACTTGATATTAAATTTGCACATGTTAGGTAAATGTCGTATTTTCATTGTCCCCTTTATTTCAAAGAAGCGAGTGCGCTTACTTTGAAGAAGCGCGTGTGCTTCATTTCATGCTTAAAGTCCCATAATCTTGTCATTTGCTTTCACTNCATTATTATAAATGAATACCGTAACTAGTAATATTAATTGCACTTGATATTAAATTTGCACATGTTAGGTAAATGTCGTATTTTCATTGTCCCCTTTATTTCAAAGAAGCGAGTGCGCTTACTTTGAAGAAGCGCGTGTGCTTCATTTCATGCTTAAAGTCCCATAATCTTGTCATTTGCTTTCACTTTATGCTTTTGAAAACAAGTTTTGTAATTAGACTGACTACACCAGCCTTTATCGCTTCTCCAACAATTTTGCAGAGAAATAAATCAAGTGCACTGAGTATTTATGCTTTTTAATCATATCATTGTTGAGTGAAGATTTCAAGAGGATGCACTTGTAAAAAGTCTTTCTTCTACTTAGAGAAGGAGGATGCTCCCAGGCACGCTTCCCGAGACTCTTCTCTCCCTTCTCTTCCTAAGACTACACCACCCCCACCAAGAGCCAAGCTTCCCGCGTCCAAACCCCAGTGAAGTTAACCGGCAAACGAGCCCTCATGCGCCCTCACGCGCGGACAACTCGCGTGCTTTTCCGGCGAGATCTCAGCCACGCGCCGGCGCGTGTGGCTTTTTCCGGCGACTTTTCAAACTTTTTTCTTCAGACAGCCTCCTCTCGAGGATTTTCCGAGCCTTCCTGTTTCGGTTTCACCAAATTCCGATGTCTCTTTCTTTTTCCGGCCATTAAACATCAGATTCCGACGGAATCTAACATTTCTTTCTTCTAAATCAGTATTCACCCACTGTGATTACTACCAAACCTCCTTTTTTCACATAACCTAAGCAGAAGTTAGCACTAATATGGGAGAAAACAAGATATACTTCAATGCCGGCGTCAAATCTTTCGATATCACCAGATGGAATTCCAACAAAGACATATGGTTTGAATGGGTGGAGAGAAGTCGCAATATGATGAGACGCTCATCCATGGGCAGAAAGACAATGGAAGCATCGAAAGATCACAAGAATTAAGTAAAGAGATGGAAAAATAAGGACCAACTGACAGAATATTTCTGTTCTAGGAAATTCAATGCCCATGGAAGGTATATGAGTATTTTGTCATTAAAGGGAGAAGGAAGATCAGTCATTATTATCCCAGAGTTGGCCTCGAATGCAGGCTGGAAAGACATAGCATTTAAGATAGAAAGATTCATTTATTATGCCCCCAAGCTGAATGTCACAGTACCACCCAGAAACACGGTGGATAACTACCCTTATGTCAAAGCAGTTAAGGAGATTAAATGGCAATCCAATACTCTCCGAGAGGCAGATGTCAGTACAAAAAAAGGAGATATCTCTATTTTGGAACCACCCGGAATTGAGGACACTGGTTTACTGAAAAGATGCATTATTGGGTACTTTGGGAAGGAAATCACTGAGAGACCCTCATTAGCAGACATACGGCGATGGGCTACTGCTTCATGGAACAAAGCCTTTGGGGTCAACATGTATGAGATGACTGGTAACATGTTTCTATTCGAATTTCCGAATAGATACATGGCTGAGCAGATTCTTCAAGGAGAATGGAGATGGAAAAAGTTCAAGTTTCATCTGGAATGGTGGAACTACACTGTTGGCTGCATACCAAACTCTCAAATTGTGAAAACCTGCTGGATTAGAGCCATGGGGATTCCCCTACATCTGTGGTCACAAAAGATCTTCAAAGAAATAGGAGATCTCTGGGGGGATGGATAGCTACTGAAGAAGAAACTGATCTCAAAAACCATCTCAAGTGGGCTAGAGTTCAAATTGCTGGTGATGGCAGAAAGATACCTAATGAGATCGTGATTGAAAGAGAAGGGATTAGATTTTTCATTCCAATATGGGCTGAAAAACAGGCAAGATTTGAACTTAAGTCGTCGGAAAACCTAGACAACGTCGGAGAAGATAATGAAACGAAACTCACAAGAGACCAGTGGACAAAGGAACCCTATAAGCAACTAATGGATAAAGGCAGTCAAACAGCTGTAGACATGATGGGCGAGAACATGGGGTGTACTGTATTGCAAATTAAAAATAAGGGAAAGGCACGTGTGCAACACATGCAAGGTCCAAGTTTTAATACAATTGGTCTGGGCCTTAATGATCCAAATACTGAGTTGAAATTAAATGGGCCTGATTCTGCAGCCCAGGTCATTTTTAATGACCTTTTACGTGAGCCCACTGAAGAAAAAAGAATGACGTCTTTTATTGAGGAACTGGGCAGCGCCTCTTGCTCGAAAATTCAAGAAACCAACGCAGGGGATCCAATTCCCACTGCAAACCTCGAAATTATGGCACATGCAATACCACACATGAATTGCGACCAGCCAGAATGTGTAGCAGAGACAAGAAAATCGGGACAGAAGGCAGGGGAGGATACTATATGCATGAAAATGGGGGAAGATCAAGTTGATACCAGATTGGAGCACCAACAGCAGTTATGTCACCTCAATTCTGATCAAAATTGGGAGGTGGAGGAGGTTACTCCTCTCTCAGTACAACACTACAATTCAGTAATGGAAAAAGAGATGGATGCGACACTGTGGGTACATCAGAATATGATTAAATTGGGAAAAATGTTCGGAGTAGATTTTCAAGGCCATGAAGAAGAAGCACTGGAGTTACTCATGCAAATTGACAGCTGTAGACAAGTCAGAAGATTGGAGACAGAGGTGGAGGTGAAGAACAAAGGTTCAAAGGCTCACTGGAACTAAAAGGTTTGGCCTCTTTTGATGTCAAATTTAAGAGTGATGGGAAAAGAAATAAGGGAAAAGATCTGTCTATTATTGCAATATGAAGATCAATTTAATAACATGTAATGTAAGGGGATTAAATGACAAGAAGAAAAGGGAGATCATAAAGAGTC